TGTTCCTCGATTTAGGATGTGCCTTGAAACATATGTCGGAACATCAGATGTGCCTGAGGGTGGCGTCCGTCAAATACATATGGAGGCAAGTATTTTCGGTTTTGAATATCCCGAAACAATTGCTAAGGAGGATTTTGATCAGGTTTTCAACCATTCTGAACTGGGCGTCGGTGTTATGCATTCATACATCAGGTACTTCAATCCATTTTAATTAAATAATTGAACATTTTAAAATTTGCTCGTTTAACTTAATATTCTAATGTTGATTATGTTTTTTTAGGTTCTTGTATGACAAGTTATTGGTCCCAAATGAATTGACTTCAGTATTCGCATTCTTATCTGCTAGCTGTGTCAACTCACGTATAATAGACCAGTCACAAGATACAGTCAAAGAGTACACAGTGCAGAGATTTATGCGCGCAACTATGAAGAAGTTGTTCTTGTTGCCATATAACACTGGCCATGGGTTAGATTTTATTCTAAATTCATTTATTATAATTGTTCCATTTTTCCCTTTCTATATATATAACATTTCTGTCTAAACTGTTGTCTTATTTTATAGTGGACATTGGTTGTTGATCGCAATTAATCCGACGAAAGAAATAGTGTATTATATAGATTCATTGGATGGCGATACAACAAAATATGAAAATCTGAGGAACTTTGTTGATACGTAAGTGATGACATATACTGTTGTCTTTAATTATATATCTTTATTTATTATGTGACATTGTTCTAAATATGCGTTTATATTATGTTAGAGTTATATAAATATTTAGAGCACAAAAAGATGCAACGGTGCCAAAAAGTAAGGCTAACAACATCAACTGGATCAGAGTGGAGGTATATTCTCGCATGTTTCTACTTGATAAAACTATTTAAACTATATATCCGAATAAATGTTCGTTTGTTTTTTCCATTTACAGTGTCCTCGGCAGTGCAATGGTATTGACTGTGGATATTTTGTATTGCGCTTTATGAGGGAAATTATTCTTTCTAGTCAACTTGAGATTCCAGTCCTGGTATGGATCAATTCATTATATAAGTTATATGATTCATTTTGATAATTATTCGATACTTCATCTGAGTAATTAGTTTTAAACTTAAATCTTATTCGATCTGTTATATTATGATGAATTCAAGTGCGCTACTTACACGAAAGCAAAATTGGAAGAAATTAAAGAGGAATGGTGTCAATTTATTCTTGGGTTGAGAATTGTATAGAGTTATCGGATTGGAAGACTTGTAATTATATGTGAATTGAATGCATTTGTCTTGTTGTAATTCTGAGGATCGAATTTTGTTGTAACATATTTAAACAGGTTTATGTGTATATTAAAATGTTTATGAACAAAGTCATGAGTTACAATGTATCCAAAGTTTTGAATTGTACATATAAGGCGAAAGTTTGAATTGTATATTTAAGGCCAAAGTTTGAATTTTATTTATAAGGCCAAAGTGTTGAAATAAAGGCCTGAATTATAAGCAGGTTTGTGTAATATAAGCAGGTTGTTGGTAAAATATACAAAACAGGGTGAATATTTTAAAAAAAAAATTTAAAATCTGGGACATTAGACAACGCTTTTACATAAAAGCGCTGCTAAAGGTCACAAATATTACGCTACAAAAGCGCTGCTGTTGGTTTGGAAGCGGGGGGGGGGGGGGGGGGGGGTCTAAGGCAGCGCTTGTAAAAAGCGCTGCTAAAGGGTGGGCTATGGCAGCGCTTTTGCAAAAGCGCTGCTAGGGGGGTCTAAGACAGCGCTTTTTGAAAGCGCTGCTAAAGAGGGGGGATGGTTGGGGGAATTATGCAGCGCTTACAAAAGCGCTGCTAAAGGTGCTGCTGAAGGGAGCTTTTAGCAGCGCTTTTTCATTGGAAAAAAGCGCTGCCTTTACCTTTAGCAGCGCCACTTTTGGCAGCGCTTTAAAGCGCTGCTAAAGGACAAAAAAAGCGCTGCTAAAGGTCGTTTTTGGCATAGTGTTTGCACTTCATTGTGGTTGTCCAAACCCTCCTTCCAAGAACTCGTGTTGTAAACTTCCTGCTTTTCACCTTTCATATGCCACCATTCGATCTGTGGTGCCCTCATATGACTTCTTCGCTTTGCTCTCCCTTTGATTCTAACATCCATCACTAATACTCTATCTTGAGTAATCAAGCTCTTTCCTCGAATAATTTTCCAGTCCAAGTAAATCCTCCTATCTGACTTCCTAATAAGAAAGAAATCTATTTGAAAACATGTTCCACTTGTATATGTGGTAAAATGCTCATTTGTTTTTCTAAACCAAGTGTTTGCTATAATAAGATGCAAAACTGACAAAAACTTCAAGATGAATTTACTCTCAGCATTTGTCTCCTCTATACCATATCTCATGCACGCTCTCAAAACCTCTTGCTATATTTTCTACATGTTCATTTAGATCCCAACCTAAAAAAAACTTCTCACTTGGGATATATTATTCTGAAATAATGTTAAAGATATGTTTCATTAAATTTACCATTCTTAGTAATGCTATTTTTAAGTTATCCATTGAGTAGTGTAGTATTCAAATTTTGTCTCACCAATTTAAAAAATTTTAAACAACTAAGGATATAAATAATAAGAATTTTATGGCGTTCAAGATTAAGATTAAGAAATTGATTTTAAATTTCACATAACTATTAAATATAGTACAGAGGCAATGCAATCTTAACTTTTTGCAAACCATATATTGACTAGAAATGGTTCAACAAAACAAATAAGAGTCTTAATTCATTGTATTTTAATTCTGACAAATATATTAAGAGACTTTATTTTATAAAATTTAACCGTTAAAAATTTTGAATCTTATCTTATAATCTATCTTGCATGCCTTCGAAAATGTAAAAGTTGACAGAATCATTGCAATAACACTATTATTAAAGTGTTATAATTATTATCAGCAATGCTATCTTAATACTTTTTTTTACACCTACATTGTATGCACTGTTCACAAATACGGTGAACAGTATCGTGAACAGTAAAACCGTACATGAACAGTAACGTGAACAGTGTCTGTGAACAGTATATATGAACAGTAATTTTTAATAGTAAATTAAAGTTGGCTAATGAAATATAAAAAGTTGGTTAATATAGTGATCAAGTTGGTTAACAAAGGTTCAGATATTAAAAATAATGTTTACTCGTAAAACAAAATTGGTTAATACAATGTAAAAAGTTGGTTAATGAAGTTATGAAGTTGGTTAATAAATGTCTAGATATAAAAAATAATTTTTAGTAATAAAACAAAGTTGGTTAATGCAATGTAAAAAGTTGGCTAATAAAGTTATGAAGTTGGTTAATAATAAACGTCCAAATATAAAAAAATAATTAATTTTTATACTTTTAAAAATATTTTTTATTATTATTATAATATTTTACTGTTCACCCTATTGGTGAACAGTAAAATACGATGTAGTGTATATGTTAGTGTAAGAATAATATTTCTCTTCTTTTTTAAAAAACTATTTCATAAATTAATTTTAAAAAGTTATTTTGAAGAAAAAATAATAAAAATACACATGTTATGAAACTTACTTTTAAAAACTATTTAGAGTTGCACAATATTATAAATTTGTTATTAATGAAAAGTGTATCTTTTTTTCCTTTCTAACTTACGATATTCAAACAAGTTTCAAAACGGAAGAGTATTTTTCTATCAAGGTTACTCCTCTTGGGGAAAATTTATGTTTATTGGAGGAGAGCGAGGATGGAGAGATCAGAGACTTGGTTAGGGAGGCAGAACCTTAGTGGAAGCAGTTGTTTTCTGAAATCAGAAGATGGAAAGAAGATGATGTTGAGAAGGAGAGGGTTACTTGGTTACGCTGCTACGGCATTCCATGTCATGCATGAAACTTCATATTCTTTGAACTTTTGGCCAAGACGATGGGTACTTACATGTGTGTTTATGAAGAAACGCTAAAGGGAAGTTGCATGGACATCACACGAATTATGGTGAGAACAAAATATGATATTGTCTTGAATGAAAACTTTAAAGTTAGGATTAGTGGAGAGGGCTTTGTCATCAAAATGGTAGAGGATTTGCACGGGCCGCTGTGTATTCTTGGATCCTCTCTTAGAAAAATCGAGGAAGTTTTATCTTTTTCGTCTGATTCGGAGAATAATTTGAGAGTTCTTGGAGATGAAGAAGATGAAGAAGCCATGGTTGAGACCCAAAAAAAACTGGTTGATCTTGAAGAAGGTGAATTCCGTACTTCTGCAACTAGGGTGTCAGATGAGAAAAGTGTGACTAGGGAGATTGAGGTTGAGTAGAATTACAGAGAGGTTATGATGAACCTAGGAATTTAATCCCTGAGACTACACGGAAAAATTTAGCTTTTGATAATGCTATTGAGGCACCAAAGGATGCAAAAGTTATTGAGGTGTTGTCTGATGATAGGTTAGATAGAGTTAGGTATGCGCAAGATTTTTCTGAACCTGTAGGAAAGTCTGCCTTAGAAAGTAGAACGTTCAGAAACCTAGCTTGTAGTGGGCAACTTTTTTCTTCAAAAAACTTAAAACTGAACAAGGTCTTGGAAGTAATTGGGACAAACCTGAAAATCAGATCCAAGAAGAAAAAGGTCAAGAGAGTTTTGGGCCTTGTTTCTTTGGATGGCCCTTTGGCTTCAAAAGACCCTATTGAGGATTTCTCAACTTCAGATGAGGTGTCGCCGTCTTAGGAAAATGTTGACGTTTTGCATACCTGAGATCAGGGCAGTCTACTTCTCTCACAATTGATTCTGCTAAATTCTCAGCAGATGAAATCCTTTGTTGTGATCAGATCTCCGATACGGATGTTAGAGTTGGTAATATCAGATTTTGGGACCAGGTGGATTTTAATATAGGAGGTAAAATCTGGAAAGCTTCTTTAGATCTAGGGGTTGTGGCGGAAGATAATTCAATTGATTATCCAAAGAAACTTAATGAGTTGGAAGCAACTGACAAAACCAGAATTAATGGCAAGAAGGCGTCTCTCAATTCTCAGAAATGATTATTGGTTCTCTTAACATTAGAGGTGGAGGGAATATTTCTAAGAGGAGGAGAATTATCAAGATTATTACTTCAGGTAAAGCTGAAGTTTTTTTTATTCAGGAATCTAAAGTGAAGTCTATTGACATTGTTGTTATTAAGATTCTTTGGAACTGCTGTGACATTGGATGGTCTTATAGTAAAGCTCATGGATTTTCTAGGGTTATTATTACAATATGGAAGGAACAGTTTGTTCAAACCAGCTTCTCTTTTTCTGGAAAGATGTATCATGGAACAAAAGTGGAGTGGAATTCAGACATTTTTCATCTGGTTAACATTTATTCAACATGTGATATTCTGTCAAAGAGGAAGTTGTGGAAAGAATCAATCGAGTTTAAGAATAAATTTACAAATGGAGCTTGGATCATGGGAGGGTACTTCAATGCAATTTCCAAAAGCTCTGAGAGGAAGGGACGAAGTCTATCTAATAGAATTTCAGAAACTAGGGAATTTGAAGCTTTCATTTTTTAGTCTGGTATGGAAGATCTTCCTATTTCAGGTAACAAATTCACTTGGAATAGTGGTGATGGGCATTGTATGAGCATAATTGACAGGTTTGTAGTTCACAATTCGATCATTAGCAAATGGGGTATTCTAGTCCAAACGGTAGGAAAGAGGGGAGTGTCAGATCATTGTTCTATATGGGTGCATCTTAAACACATAAACTGGGGGCTACAAACCTTTCAAATGTTTTTGTTGCAGTGAGAATCAGATATCAAGCTATTAATTAACTTGAATCGCAAATCTTTAAATATTCACCTCCTAACTTTGATTTATCCAAAGGAAAGGGTAAAGATCGAAGAAAAACCCTAAGTGTACTACGTAACAATGAAGCTAAGAGATCGAGGGGTTCGGGGTTGGTTATACTAAGGGAAGGTATTAGCACCCTAAGTATCTGTAGTACTCTACAGGAGCCTCTTGTTCGGTAGTTGTGTTTGCGTTAATGTGTGTTTGGTAATGGTTATATGTTAAGGTAAAGACTTATGGGTTTGTACACTAAGTATGCTCACCAAGACGTCGCATTTCGTGCCTACGTATCCTTACAAGGATGGAATCAGAGCAACCGTAGTTCTCCTAACTAGGGAGAGAACTCTTGGCTATGGTCAAGTTTCAAGGGGAATAAGCATCCATAATAATGATACTTATATAGAGTTAACAAACTCTATAAGTCTAAGTTGAAAGACTAACTAGGGGTTTGACTTTAACAAAAGCCGAAAGGGGAAAAGTGAGTACCCATAACAATGGTACACACATAGAGTTAACAAACTCTAGGCCCATGTTCTAAGTTATAGGATTCCTAACAAGCTATACTAAAGGTATTGACTTAAAAAAGTCAAAGGGGATGAGGTTCTAACTTAAGACTAAGCTAAAAGTCCTAATGACTCTAACAAGGTCAAAGGGAGGTTAAAACAAATGAGTTATCTATGACATTGAGTCAATAGAGAGACTTTCCTTTGGACTTAGGAACACAAGGCAACTCTTTAGGATGAGATATAACAAGCTACATCACTTAGGGGGAACTTAACAAAGTTTAATATCACACATATACATTCATTCAAACATGATGAAGATATAAAGATCAAGGTAACAACCAAGGAGGTGAAGGCAAGCATGTAACAACATCAAACAAAGATAATAACAAAGGTTACAACCAAGTATATCAATAGAAGAATCAAACTAAATGGTTACAACCAAAGGTAAACATGGATGTCACAACATCTAAAAGGGTATGAAGTAAGGTTCTTACAAGACCAAACATCAAAAGTTACAAGTGAATCATGCATAAGTCAAAACATTACTTATAACAAAGTTCAAAAGATCAACATTAACATGCATAAATCATACAAATATTTAAGCATGGATACAAGTCAAGGTAGTTATGTATAAGTCAAAAAATTACTTATAACAAAGTTCAAATTAAGTAGAGGTAATTGTAACACCCCACTTCCCAAATTTAAATAAAATGCGAATAAATCAATTAAAAAATATCAGAGTTTCTCTTCCAAAATGGGGATATTACTTTTCACAAAAATTTCCACAAAACATTTCATTAAAAGATTTTCAGAATAAGCAGCGGAAAAGAAATTTGTCACAACATATATACATATATGTACATCATCTCATACATCATGTTTGGCCATCTGCCAAAATATACAAAACATCATCAATAGAATACATCATCAAAACATGATACGACACGGAGTATAAACAAATCATCAAATAGATAAATAACTCCCAAAAACCCCGTGTTACGTATCAGAGCATCCCTACGACTCGACTCGCCACAATCCAAGCTAGCTAAACACCTGGATTATCTGTACTTCCGAAGAAGCACAGACCACAACAACAGCAAAGGCGTGAGAAAACATTATCGAAATATAACGGTAAATATTTACATGAAATAAAGGCAGTAAATAAATACATCATCACCCTACAAATTATCATGCACGACCTACTGTCCAATCATCAATCACAGCATACAATAATGCACAAATGCAACTCAACACATGCATGCGGTACCGGCTTAAACTCAGGATAGATCGCATACACTCCATCCAAGCAACGATCTATCCCTACCACGCTCCTCATGAGCACATATAATCAAATCTCAGTATAGATCGCTTACACTCCATACGAGCAACGATCTATCCCTACCACGATTACGAGTGAATCGCATACACTCCATCCGAGCAACGATTCAACTCCGCAATCGTCGATGGACACTTTGGCATCAACCCTCCTTAAGGGAGCAACACGATCCTACTGATCCCATCATGCATCATGCTATGCATACACCAACATCAAGCACACTAGGTGCACACTATTCTACTGATCCATCATCATACAACACACAACCATCAAGCAAACAAGGTGCACACGATCCTACTGATCCATCATCATACATCATATATATATATATATATATCACACAATCAATCAATCGAATTAATCACATTAGACATTGGCGAAACAACCCTATAACACTCAATATACACCCAGCATCCTTGCACTATCTTTGTACATCAAATAGATCACAATCATCAACATCAGATGAACACAGATCAAATAAAACAAAGTCCTGCTACATTCGCTACCTCGCTCGCTACGCGAGCTCCTAGCGAACGCTTGCTACATGTTCGCCTAGCGAACCTGCTCGCGAATCACACTTCTGAGCTACTAGAAGTGTTCGCTACCACCTCGCTGGGACTCCGCCTCGCGAATCCTTCGCTACACCACTCGCCTAGCGAACCTACTAGCGAGTATAGAAAAATGGCCACTGGAATGGCTTGCGACCTAGCTCGCCTAGCGAGAACCTAGCGAATGCTCGCTACTCACTCGCCTAGCGATGAGCTAGCGAGTGTATGCGATTTCAGAAAAATCCCACTGTGCAGAATCTCAATAGCAGCTCAAAACTCAACAAATTTCTCTAGATCAGTACCAATAACCTCAACTTAGCATTCTACATAAATTCTACCCAACTAATTCTAAAATCATCCGATAAAACATCAATTTCTGCCGATTAATCCACTTTCGGCTTAAAACCTTAATCTACTCCAAAATATCCAATTCACCCAAACAATCATCAAACATTACATGCAATGGTTCCACCATGAACAACAGAAAAATCAGAAACTTAATCAACCACATGCAATTCATCATCATCAAAACCTATGGGGTTAAGGACTCCCCAACTACCCTTATTCATGCATTACCAATTTCCCATCTATTTTCTCCCCCTTACCTCAATAAGCCGCTTGATCGATGATAATCCGCAAATTCCAACAGCTTGATCTTCTTCCTCCTCAAGCTTGCTTCCTTCACTCTTACTCCTCTTAATCGCTTCTATTGTGTTCTTCTCTTCTCTCTTTTCCCAAATGTCACTTATGCCCCTAATACCCCAAATTCTCCTTAAATTCCAAATAATTCCAATAAATAATAATCCTCACTTCTTTTATTCCAAAATTAATATTTCCAATAATATTATTAAATATAATAATAATAACAATAATAATAATAATAATAACAACACTACTAATTATCATATTATTTTTATTATCAATTATATTATTTTAATATTTTGGACCATAGTTTCTCCAACAATTCCCACACAAGCACGCCGAAAATAAAATAAAACTGGAAAACTTAAATAATTAAAATGGGTGTTACAGTAACAACCAAAACAACTTGGACAAAGGTGTAAAATATGTGACAACAACACGTGAATTGTGGTGAATCTTTGTTAAACAAGTAGGTAACAACCAAACATGTAAAAGGGATTCAATCATGGATTTGTAAACAATAATGAGAAACATCTCAAAGAAATTTCATACATACTTGAATATATTTCAAATTAAAACAACATGTGTATAAGAACACTCAAGTAAGGTAACAACCAAGGTTTTAAGATATTCAAACATACATACATATGTGAAAGTGAACTTGAAAAAGTGATAACCATCAATGTAACAACAAGGGTATGAAAATTCACACATCGAGTGTGGTTCATACAAAGTATATTAGGTGCATACAAGCAAAGAGAATCAAAGGAATCAACCACAAAGATCAAAGGAAAGCCTAAGAAACCCTAAAAAGTCACAAACTTTGAACATGCACAAGGGAAAGAAAAATAATTCTTTTTGTAATTTTCTTGAGATGGATAAAATTTAAGCATTCTCATGAACATTTAGAAAAAAGAATGGGACCAAAATGATTAAAAAAAATCAAAGGAGTTATGATTAAATAAATTTGTGAAGAAAAACATAAAAATTAGGTATTAAAAATAAGGAAATGCACTCCAAGGGGTTTGAACCCACGCCACTAGGGTTACTACCCAAAACTCTAACCATCTGGTCTGCGTGCGCATTATGAATATTGAATGCAAACATGTAGTAAACTAAGAAAATCATGATTAATCAGAAGGAAAAAGATAAAAAGGTATGGGGGGGATCGAACCCCAGGATCTTCACTCATATACTTTCCTCCTTGACCAGCGGTGCTACGCCCTCATCCAATATGTATATACTTCAAATTTGTTTTAAAGTAGAGACACCTTAGCACGACCAACTCAGCGCCATATCATACCCAGTCATCTCCACCTCAGCTTCGTCTTCCTCAGTTTTTTCTCTCTTACTCGTGCCCTAGAACATCATCCATGGCCAGATTTTCTTCTTCCTCTAACTCTCTCAAATCTCAACCAAATTAAATGAAATTAAAATCAAATTTGAATCATTTTTCAAGGATAATCCAAATATGATACTTGTTTAACCTAACTCTAACAGCATAGCACACAATGAATCCAACAATAGTGCAACACAACAAAAATATCACATGTCAAAACATTACATGTGCAACTCATACAAAACAAACCGTAGTTGAAACATCTAGCACATGATGATATCTACATGTTTTATTTATAAATGAATCATTAATGGTGCATGAATCATGAAGTTCAAAGATAAATAAGCTTACCT